TAAAGTGAGTTGCGATCATAGAATGCACAAACACAAAGTAAACTATCTTTCATCAACCAGAAATCGACCCGTTTATAGCAAGGTGTAGGTAGCCATATAAACTTTTAAGGTCTCGTTCACGAACCATTTTAGAACAGACCACCCGCGTCACAGCTTATTAATGTGTGTATTGCTAGCCAAAGCTAACTACGATGACTCAGGACTCCTACAGCATGCAGAAGGAACACATATTGCCCACACACCGTTAAAGATAAGTTCATTTTTAAGATGATTGTGTAAGCCCATTGTCTGACAAAATAGTGAATACACTTGGCAAATGTATGAGTTTTTAAGCCAAATATAAAATTTTTTTAATGACTGACTTGTTAAACATAATAATGTTACATCGAGCAAATTCGAGTAATCCAAATTAAGCATGCAGGGTTAGCGATTCAAACAATCAGGTTCTTGAGTAAGCTGCGAAACAGAACTAAGGCGCCTTCCGAAAGGAGGCCTAGGTAACATCAAAACCGAGCTACGGTTGAAAAGTTTTATGGGAATAATATGAGGGTGATTTATTTAATTAATTAACAAAGGGCAGATAATATACAAGACCGAATTCAAAAGGTGATAAAACAATGGGGAAGTATGTACAAGCAGTTATGTAAAACAGTATTCAGCGATGCTTGCTACGCTTCTTTTTTCCTGAGTAAGTGGATACACTTGGCTGAATATGCTGTTCATTCTCATGACAACAGGCCCCAAGATCACTTGATAAGGGATCGTCGGTATTGAAAATTGAGTTATCAGCAAGGATAGAATTGGAATAATTGAAATCACCACACCCCCGAAAGAAATCACGATCATCCAAGTTTGGAGAGTTTGAAGTGTGAAGTGCTGTAAAATTTATCAGTGAGCCAGGATAAATAATCTGTTAACTTACATTTATCCTGTTCATACTGGGTATTCATAGACTAGAAAATAGCTTTGAAAAAGTGACTTACTGCCATTGAAGTTACAGAGGATCGAGAGAAGAGTCTATCAGAGTCTCGAAATTTCCTCACCCTTTTATCATTTGTGGAGCGCCCTGAGCCAACAGATCCAGCAGCCCCGCATGAACTAGAGTTAACGGCTCCAGTGGCAGCTAGGTACCGATCCCAACCTTTAATAATATTTCCATAAGGAGCAGTGTCATCTAGGTAGCTGCCTTCAAACAGGTATATCTGCCTTTCAAGAGTTGTTAGTGTCTCCTATGTGAATGCCATATAAATAATATTTACGGTCAAGCACTTTCTTTGGCGCATTAGCTCCATCAGATCGGATTTAAGATCTATCAAAGAAGGTTTGCAAGAACTAGGGGCAGGCATAGAGAATGCTTTGGGGCTGGAGCCAAGCATTTAGAATAATTTAAACAAAATAAACATATTACTTCACATTGCATATATAATGAAAATAAATTAAAAATATATTATTAAAATTTTAAAACTTTACTATGAAATTAAATGCAAGATACATTCAGTAAAGTTTCATCGAGTAGCAATATCCGATATATTATTTAACCGCTATTTTGGAACTCTTATTACTCATGACGCCACCATATATATCAGATTAATTAATTTAAAAGACTGCTACGTAGGGAAGTACGTGTATTACTTTAGTCATCGATGTAACAATTTACTTCTGACCTGAATGATAATCAGTATTCTTCTTCTGATTGGAGCTAAACGATCATATGCTATAGCAACTTAGGATCGTATATTGCTTTAAGCCATGATGCACTTTTCGAAATTACAAAGCTTGTTGCAACGAGTATAGTCGTATTAAATAAAAATTCAGAAATGACCGTATTTAATTTTAAAAGATTAGTTATTTGAGCACTGATGTACTTGATTTTATCCCGAAAACTATTGTGAGAAGTCTGTCACAACTCGGAAAATTTATATAAGCTTTATTTTGGTGTTTACGAATTATGCAACAAAAAATATTAATAGTTTTTGGAATCAGATGTTCAATTTCATCTTATCCTCGTTTGTTATTATTCATAATGATTCATAAATGGGTAATTAGTCAATTTAAACTCGTCACTAATTTTTTTTCAGACGTTACTCATTGTTATTTTAACTACTTATGACTATATCTTGATTTAGGCACCTGGATTCTTCGAATTATATGTATTACCGCAATTGACAAGGATTTAGCACCCGTATTAATTTCTTGTCATATTAGTTTTTAATTGAATATAATTCAATAAACACTATCCAAGAGCCATTTCTCAATTTACTTGATCAGATCCCATACGAAAGAAATCGTTCTTATCGGTACTTAATTATAAAATACTTGCAAAATTCTCAAGGAACTTTATTCAGTTATAATATTTTCAATTGAAATTCAACTTTCTTCAAGAACGTACTTTTACTCGTGCACTGCTTTCCCTTCACCAACTTATGCACTACTACTATTAATAAATCTCGTCATCATGGAGTTATATATTGTGGCTAATTTCCCAAGACGAATTTAACGTTATTCCTGATCAAATAAAAAGCCAAATCCTTAAATTTTAAGAACCTGTATATAATAATATATATCTAACTCTCATACCAGTCAAAGTTAACTTCTATAAGAGCAAACGTAAATGCAAAACTCATATATTATATTAACTTTTGTATCTAACTTTATATCACTTGCTTATCCATTACACCTGGTATTTTAAATGTAGTTCTCATAATTCTCCAAAAATAGAAGCAAAAATCTTTTTAGCCTTAGTTACAACTTTAATCATAATGTGTTGGCTCGAGCTCGTTTTCGCAACTTGGTCGGAGCATCAGGGAGACCTTGTGGAAGGTACCTAATCCTGTGTCCTCTGTCATAGTATTCGTGAACTCCAGCATCGGACTGACGATGCTTGTCGCTTCAAGTGGATTTAGTGACGCATAATCACCTTCAACACCAGTTTCAGAATTCGTTTGCAGGGCGTCTGAGTAATGGCTTTAGACCTTCATTTTGCTTCACTTTACTCGGATTGTTAGTTATACCCATGATTTCTGCACAATTCCACAAATTATTTCTAGACAGAAGCCTTATGTGTATTAGGGAGTAACTAACAAGCGGAGTGGAAGAGCACTAAATTTGAATCAGAAGTCATGTCCCAAAAGCACTGGAAATGGCATCTGAAACCTGTGAGCAATGTGATTATTTTTCACTAACTGTAATATTTAACTATACAAATACAGTACTAGATAATATATAGTCCGCATTTTTTAGCTCAAAATTCAGGTAATTTTATAGTTTAGAGCAGGATAGACTCCACTGAATAGACTATTAGACGATTATAGAGGAAACGCTAG